TTTGTGTTCAGCGATCATGTCAGGAAGGTTAGCATCATGGAATGCCAGGTTGATAGAATAAATTGTTCTTGAATTGAGGGATTACTTGAGTAGAGGCCCAATGTCCATCTGCTACCTTAATACTAAACCTATGTACATAGGTCTATTTCCCCATCATCAAAAATATAAATATATTTATATAGTACATGCCTGTATTTAGATCTCTATAAATGCCCTTTGCCTCCTAGTTCTTTCCTCTTATTTCCTTTTACTTTCCTCTTGTCCCACTATCATGTTCAGCCATCATTTGGGTTTCAGTAATTCCTCTTGGTTACATTGCTCTTGATCAAGTTCTACCAGACCTCCTACGCCCACCTCACCACCGATTTTGGATCACTTGTTGTTCCCTTGTCTCTGGGTTTGTTAATACCCACTTCCTTTCCCCTGTCTCCCCCTCTCCCATGTCCCCCCGGAACAGTTGGTCCCATTGTTGTTTTCTCATCCAGGTTGTTTATCCTGCCTATCTTATGTAGATAAACCTGCAGAGATAATAATATGCACAAAAAACAAGACAGAGCAAAGCAAAGCAACAAAAGAACACAAAATAACAACAATAACAAAAACAATGACAAAAAAAAAAAAGCCTGTAAATAGTTCAAGGTTTGTTTGTTGACCTTTAGGAGTGTTTTCCAGTCTGATGCCCTGACTTCAAAGTTTATTTTTGGTATTCCCTGGGGACTCCCCTTGCTGTTCTGTTGCATTCCCTTAGTGTTTTGCCTTGGTGCGGTGGGGTCAGATTGGGTGCAATTTCCAGTGTTGTCTCCCAGAGCGCTATGGGTCAGTGAGGGATTGTCGTGTCTCGTAGTGGGACCAGCCCTATGGTCCTCTCTGTGCATTGGCTGCTCTGAGCAGGAACATCATCCTCAGGGCGTGGTGGGCCAGGATGTGTTGCACTCTCTCTCCCTCCCCCTTCGTTTGCTCCTGTGTGCTCTGATCAGACAGGTCCCTCTCCCTGAGCTGTAGCTTCAGTGCTGTCCCCTGAAGTGAATTATTCTGTGGGGAGAGGGGCTGT